CCCTAGGTTTGATGTGATATTCCCAAATCAACAAGTGTTTTAAATCACTCTATTTTTCTTTCCAGCCCAGCATCCTCAATCCTGCCACCTGCGTCATGAGAAGTGGTCCCTAAGACTTCAGGAGTCCTGCTGGAGTCAAGGGGACTGTTTGCAGAGTGCCAACCTTTGTGTGCAAAGGAGACATGAAGGAGACATGTGCATGGCTCCTTCCTTCCTTCCTTCATCTCTGGAGGGGTGAGCTGGTGCAATTTGCTTCTGGACTATGTTCAGAGCAAATGTTACCTTGCATGATAGCCACCCACACACCCAGGTGCATACGTCTCTGCTGAAGAGCAGAGCCCAAAGGCCACCACTTTGCACAGCAGAGGTCCCTCCCCAGAGCCAGGACACAGTGTCTGGCAGGCAATGTCAGGGTGTAAGGAATGTCCCCGTGCTCTTGCAGGAAGACGTGGTCTCTTTACCCATAGAGCAGTGAATCTATCACATAGTCAGCTTGTAATTTACTATAAAGAATTTTTCCAGGAAAGAAAGTTTCCATCCAAGTAAATTACTTACAGTTATTTAGTTACTTAGGAAAGTTTTTGTTGTTTGTAAAGAATAGACGTGAGGGGAGTGGGTTTTTTATTTATTTTAGAACAGAGTTAGTTAATAGTCACACAAGGATCTGGCAGGTTTTGCACTCTGAGATAGAGAGTAGTTCCAGGAACTGGGCAAACGAGGCAGCATAAAGGCTATTATCATTACAGAGAGAATATATACAGGCACAGTTGTTCATCATATTTATATTTCTATAGAAATTAAGCAAAAATAACAACAATCCCTGCAGTTATGGAAGGCGTTTCCTTAGGATCCAGATGAGAAATCACAACAGAGTTAAACACAGGGACCTCCAGCAGGACAAGATTATTTGTGTTGCTCCTTGATTGCCTGGAAATGTTTCTCCTTTGGATTAGCTAAATTCTATAGGGGTAAATATATTCTTCAGTAATTTACATGTAAATGAGGATAACATCGCAGAATTATTTTCTTCTGAGTGCCCACAGTTCTGAGTTATGTCAAAACTGTTATGTGAAGATGGGTTTATACATGGCAGCATTTTAAAGACCACATTTGGGAACTAGGACAGGTTTAATTTTCCTTGTACAGTAAAAATCTTTTCAAGCATAAAAAGAGGTGGACAGGCCACACCATGAACAATGGACCCAGTAAGGCACAAGAACAAATATATAATGAGATTGAAGGTGATCATAATAGCATGCAGCATTAAAAAGAAGGCATTTAATTTTGTGGATACTTGATTATTTAAAGAGATGCACTGTAAACTGAAACAGCTTACAACATTTGTGTCAAATCTGAATAATTTGTGCTTAGGATGTGCTAAAGCAAAGTTTGAAATGAGCAGAAACTAGAGCTGCAGTTACAACACTGCAACAGCAGCAGAGGGGTAGCAAGTCTTTGTTCAAATAACTTATTGGCAGTAATTTTTTGATAACTTATTTTCTTGACCTTTTACTGAGCATGGAAACTGCTAACACTTTGCCTTTTCACCAGTCCCATGGCAAAGCAAGAAGGATTAAAAATGAAATTTTACCTTAAGGCAGTTTTAGGGTCAACAAGAAAACCTTAAACCAAAGTGGTCAGCAACACAGTTCATGCTTAGCGAGAACAAAAGCCAGGGTCCTTTTTTTTTTTTTTTTTTAGTAAAGAAGACAAAAAAATTTTATCTAAAGATAAGCTTCTAAATCCTTAGTTTGGCACCTCAATAAGCAGCCTGGCCCTTCTTAAGGGCTCATTGCCCATTAGTTTTCACTCCTGTCAAGCTAGCAACACTTGGCACTTCTAGTTTCCTAAAAGAAAAAAAAATATGTGCAACCAAGAGGAAATTCAGGAAAGGTTGTATGTGCAAGAGGGAGAGCACAGGTAGGTCCAACCTCCACCTCGCTGCTCATCCTAAAGCCATGTCATGGCCCTGCTCTGCTGCTGGACTGATGGGAAGCTCTGGTGAGAGAGTGAGAACAAAGCAATGGAGACCAGCAGCTAACAGACAGCTGCCCGCTTGCAAACAACTACCACCATAGTCCCATGTCTGTTTCTCTGCCACTTCTAATCTCCAAAATAACTGGAATGTCATACTAAAACAAACAAACAAAAAAAGCCCGGGATATCCCTGCAGAGTTACAGAAAAGGCTCCAGTTGGCTTTAGGAGGCAAGAGGCGATGCTGCCATGTGTACTTTTTAACCCTCAAGACATTATTGAAAACCACAGGTGAGGTGACATCTTACTCATCCACATCAGATCCTATGGATAAATTGAGCTCCAGATAACAGCTCATTAACTTAATCCAGTTCTGTTCAAACAGATCAATACCTTGTTGAAGGGCGATGTTATTCTAACCTCTTAAATAACTTTGAAACACTATGATACAACAGAGCAATACATAGCTACAAATAGTCACTACAAGAATGCACAGTTTAGTTTAGTTTGCAGTGTGCTCTGAAGTTACTTACATGATGTATAGACTTTCTATAAAAAAGGCAAAAGCCCAAACTCCCAGTCAGCAGGAGCATAAAAACATATCGTTTTTCATATCTCAGTCTCAAAACAAGGAAAGGGAAAAGAAAAAAAAAAATAGTCACCAGGTCCTGCTTGTGTCTTATTTACACTGAGGTAAGTTTGATGAAATTAACAGCTGCACCACTTGAAGAAAGCTGGTAGGAGAACAGGACCAGCCCTGATTCAGTCCTCTGCAGGATACACCAGAGATTTCCAGGAGTCTGATAAGACTTACCATGGGTTTCTTAGGACAAGGTCCCTGGAATCCTCAGACTTGAATGCCCATTGCTCTTCACATCCAGGTGAAGACTGCCTGACCCAGAAACACCTTTGTGGAGGGTGTTTGTATATCATACTTGCATGCTCTTCATACGACCTCAGTGGGCTTCCTAGCTTGAACATCACAGTGTAGCCCTTGGCCAAAGGGCAGCTCCCCAAAACTGCTACAATCACTCTTTGCAGGTGCTCTTATGGGGTGTGGGAACATCAATGGGTGTAGCAAAGTGTGCAGAGACACACAGGATTCCTGCATAGGGGAGGATCTCCCTCTTGCTCAGGCTGTGCACTGAAGGCCCTAGTGCCTACATGGACAGATGCCTTTCTGCATGGACTGTGCCATCCATGGCCAGCAAGCCTGCTGACCAGTCAGACTGCCCCAGCTGCCAAGACTGATGGGCCTAAGCACCACCCATTGAGATTATTTGAAATCTCTCCTGTTTCACTAACTGTATTTAAGCATTAGGGGAATGAGACAGAAAGTGGAAGCACACTTGGTTTCTCACAGAAGGACACTCCCAACTGTCCATGCCAAGCAGTCGGGGCCATCTGAAGAGCACTTGAAACTGGCTTTTTCAGCTCAGTTTTTCACATGGGTTTTTTTTTTCACATGCTTTTCTTCAGCTCAGTGTCAGGAGACCACTCTTCTGAGTCACCAGCCTGAATAACGGGATAATCTGCTACAGCCACCTCTCTCATGGGAAAGGGAACAACCAGGATGGATACCTTCATGCCAGCTTAGCTGCCACCCACAGCAATTCCCATGGGCAAACAGCCGTTGGCTGGGACAAGCAGTTGTAATGACACAAAGGCATGAAAGTTTTTCATCGTGGTCCCAGCTACTTTGCCTGGGGTAAAATCTTCAGGCTGAATGTTGCCAAAACTGATCACGCTAAAATTCTCAAAAGTGGGTAGTGACTTTTTGTGCTTTCCCTGAGAAACCTTATGAAGTTCTAGTCTGAAACCCTTTGCTGAAACAATGGTCTGCTTAAGGGCTGCAGGTTGGAAACTCAAAACCAGAGATGGTCAGAACTTGTTTGATGTTTACTTTGCCTTTCAAATCAGAAAGGCTTTTCCAAGCTTTCCCCAGATTGGAATTCAGAGGTCTCTCTCCTCAGCACCAATTGGACAGGGCTGTGTTATGCTCATCTGATACTACTGAGCATCACAGAGGGACCTAAACAAATATGTCTTCAAAACCTAATGCTGTAAAACATGTTTTGCCAGCTCCACCATCTCAGATGTTGCATTTACATCAGTGAAGTCACATTTCCACCTCAGGAAGCTGTAAGGCTAGGCTTAAGGCATATTACAGTAATGCCTTTTCGTGGACTGGTCCTTTGTCTCTTGTTCAGGGAAGACACAAGAGATAGCACAAGTGAGTTCTTTTTCACCATGAACTTACACTTGTACAAAATAAATAACAACAGCAGGGTCAGTGGGGTTAATGAGGTAACTTCAACTTCATCCTGCAACATCTTTCTCCAAACATACCAAGAGACTATAAAAAGAAGCTAGAGCTGCTAACAGAGAACAAACTCAACTTAAAATTTTAACAAGAAAAAGGTGAAAATTATCAAGCACAAAGCCCAGAAGCATGTTGATTTATCTCTAAGCATGCTGAGGTGTTGGATTTGCTATTTCCTTTTGCCTGCACCTCACAGCTGAGGCTGCATGTTTGTGCCCAGCGTTTATGGTTCCTGTAGCGAATACATCTGTACAGCAATGTGCTTCTTGCCAATTAGCTTTTAACTCCAACTCACATTTTCTGGATAGATTAGATACCAAACCTGTTTTGTATAAGACACAACATCCTTCACGTTGCATCACTGAATGAGCATCTGTTACTATAGTGCCCGGCTGTTATTTCCTAGATGACCAGGGAACTGTCAAGTGAGCTCACCCACCCGGGCCATTTAATTTTCAACATCCATTTTTTAAAAAAGCAGGAGGCTGGCAAATGAAAAGAAATGCCAGCAGAGCTCAAAGCCTCCCTGTCACCTCAGGGCCCAATCCTGTAAAATACCAGTATTTCCTGTGAAAGGTTGAGTGCTCTCATGCTTTGTTAAGCTTTTTCTGACAGCTGGGAGAGCCTCAGCAGCTTGTAGAGCTGCTTTCCTTATAGAGAAAAAGGGAACATCCACTGCTCATCTACTGAAGCCTTTCTACTTCAGTTCAGATTTTTTTTCTTCTAAACACATGCACAAGCTCTTTCTTCCACTATTCCTTTAATACACAGCTTTTTTTTGCACCAAGCTAAGTCAAATAAAATTCCACTATCTACAAACAGTGTTTCTGTTGCTCAGCTGTCTAAAGACTGCTCTCAGGACTGATCTTCCTTGTCTGTAGAGAGTAAAAATGGGACTACCAAAGTCCTAAATGAACAAAGGTGTTAACATCTGAAAAAGCAGCAACAACCTCAAAACTGTCAACAAAACAGATAATTCTCACACCATCCAGCTTCCCATGCACAGCACAGCCCCTCCTCTCATGTACAGTGTGAGAGTCTATTTGCAGGACTACAGGGAATGCCCAGATAGGTGAGGAAAAAAATTCAATCCAAAGCTTGAAAGGGGAGAAGCTGCCTGGCTCTAAAGGAAAAAAGCTACTTCTCAATTTACTGATAATCTGACACCGTGGCTGGGATCCATCTCACTCGCCTTTCTCTTCCAGAAATACCTTGCCTACTACATGTTAGAATCACGTTTGCTTATTTCCCCACCAATGTAACCCATTTTTGGCACCTTGTTATTCTGAGTGGGTTTCATCTCACCTGACTTAAGATGTGTGCAAGACAGAGCTATCCACCCTGGGATCCCCTTGTGGGGGAACAGAAAGAGGCATTTCTAGGGAGAGAGATTCTTCTGACTCATTTTATATCTCTAAGATGAAACAAATCCTGCCCAGACCAACCATAGTGACTAGACCTCCTTTGCTTTAAAGATTGTTGAGAGTCATGAGCTCTGATGTAGATTATCTACATTAAAAGAGAGAAATTCCCATCATATCAAATGGGCAACCTGTCCAAATTGCCCCGCCTCTGTAGCAGCTATTTCCAAAACACCATTTCCTAGTTTTCTAAGTGAATTTGTGCTTGGGTGCTAATGATATCAGTCTTAATATTTTTATGTACAACCTTATTAAATATTTTGCAGCAGTGGTGCTTTGCAACCAAGATCCTGGAAATCTGCAAAAGGCTTGAAGTCTGTTGATTATCTGCTCATCTTTCCTAAGTGTTGTTTGAACTGGATGCTAAACCCTTCTTGGAACTACCTTTGAACTGTAAGAACAGCCCTCCACAAATAGCTATACAGAAGACCAGAGGTTAGATGCAAAGAGTTAGCAACCAGTGGGAGGAAATGCAGTCTCAAGATAGTAAGACTCACACAGAATCATTTTAAAAACATAATTTTCTAGCCACTGGACAATGTCGGATATTCAAATGTTAAAAGAAACCAACTTAAAAAATGTCCCTACAACAAAAGAAAATTCATATTAAACCCAAGATTTAGTTATTTGCCTCCAGCCAGCTCTGAAGCTTAAGTCTCGCCAGAAGTTATGAACCTCTTATGTGGCACTAGACACACATTGCTGTATGAGTTAGTCTGTTGCCTTCCCACCCTGCCTAAGATGGTGGGTCTAGGTTTCTCACTGCAGATTGCATATTGGGTAAATAAATTACAGCAAACTCTAACAACAATTAGAAGGAAATAAGAGCGTGAATCACATACAAAAGTTATAAAGTACTCACCAGGTCGCCTGTCCCAGGTTTTTCCATAATAACTGGGGGGAGCAGTAACCCTGCAGGAGAAGTAGGGTCTGGATTGAGTGCCCCGGTGCCTCCTCCTATCAGGGAAACCACACCATTGCAATCCACTGAGCTGTTCCTTTTGCCCGTCTGGGTGTAGTTGGGAGTAGTAGGGTGAGAACTATGGCTCACTTGACTTTGCACGCTTGGACGCCTCCCAGATCTTGGAATTAAGAAAGAGCCCCGGTGGCTTTCATTTTCCCCAGCAGTGCTGATCTCATCATCGGCAAAATCTGTTTCGGAGCCAGTGTCTCTACCACGGAGTCGGAAACTGAATATGCTTCCGTGGCTGGTTCTGCGCTTCACCAAGTTTGCACTGGGACCATAACTAATGCCAAGGAGAGTCTAGAAACCCCCAGAAAGGAAAAAGGGGAAAGAGAAACAACATTTTGCAACATGTTTTCAGGAGCGAGGAAAGTCTGGGGAGAGCAGTAAGTTCCATTTTAAATCAAGTGCTTCAGAGAAAGACTTTACACGTATTCAACCTTCGCAAAGTTAACAGGTTGAATAATCATTCCTGGACATTAGGTATTTGTTAAATACTTGACAGTTAAAGATGTACTGAAATAGGAAGGGTCAAGGTGGCATTCATCTCGTAGGGTGATACTTCCTTTGCTTCCACTCCCCCCGATCTGATAAGTGCCAAAGGACCTGGGGAGGCAGCACAAGGAGTGGAAAACAAGAGCAAGGAAGGGGATCCAGCTCCAGTTTAAAGCATTATCACACATCTTCATAACAGCTAGGGAAGGAACGTTGCAGGGGGAGAAGAAGAGATAAAGAAATAGGGCAGGAAATGAACTGCAGGGAAAATGAGAAGAAGAGGGAAGAAGAAGAAGAAGCAGAATACGACGGAAGAAGGTGATAAAGGAAAAAAAACAACCAAAAAATCAAAAAAACAAGAGCAAGAGGAGGGATATGGTTTATTAGTTTGTAGAATTATTATCCCAATGCACATAGTTGCTTTAAGGGGTAGGCAACCTCTGTACACAGCAGTCTCCCTCACACCCAAATATCAGCCTTGATGATCCACTCTGACACCAGCTAGTGAGAGTGCAACTCTGACAGTGTGTCAGCAAGATGTAGCCAAGTGCTAAACACATCTAAATCCTGGCAGAGCAAAAAGGATGTTCAGAAAATGCATAGGATATTCAAGTTTATCCCCTTCCCTTGTATCTGAAGAGGAAATTATTGGAATAAGAGCATTTAGGCAGAACATACTTTTGATTTTATGGCCCATAAAGAATTTTCAGCTTCTTCAAAACTTTCTCATGAGCCAAGTATATATGAAGAGAGGTCAGATCTCCACAGGGTCCACAAGCCAAACAAACCAAATGAAGCCTAATTTCATTTCGCACTGTAGCTCACACCACTGAGTTATGTAAGGATATTATTTTGTGACACTGGTACAAGGAAGAGTACAAAAACTAAGCTCCTTCTAACTAAAATCAAACCATTTGGATTGCTACTAAATTTTAACCGGTCAAAAATCCGTGCCTGGGTTTCCATGGCACAGTCATTGAGACTAATTTCTGATGGCAACACACGTCCAGCTGCTCAGATTGCATCTGAATGATGACTCAGCCTTACTCCCTCCAACCATGCCAGACACAACCTTGCAGAGAAGATTTACTGTAAGTTTTGAAATGTGTCTCCCATGTTTCTCATGCATATGACATCCAGGGGCGAAAAGTGAAAACAAGAAATATTAAACTAAGAAACAAACTGGCAATGCACAGCTCCAGTCCATGGTCATTCTGGTACGTGATGTCTCAAAACACATCCAGAATGAAGCTGAAGAGCAGTTCTACCTTTAGCAAAGCTGTATTTGTAACATGACCCACTCAACCAATGAGACAACAACAAAAGCTGTTAGATTAAAAAATGCATATCATTTAGAGAAATCCAGCTCTGTGTAAATTTTTTGAGCTGGGGAGTCATTAATTGGTCACATTTACTTACATCACTTTATTTACATGTTTTCTATGAGCTTTTTATGGCTGCCAAATATCCCTAAATTCACTGAAAACAAAATATGAAAAGACTTAGCCCATTACATGGCTATTCAAAAAAACAAAATAAACTGATTTAAACTTTGCTCTCAGTTAAGCAAAGACAAATTATCTGAAGCTATTTATGATCATTTGATACATACAGCATGTGCAGATTCATATTCATGCATGTCAGTAACATTTATATAAAACCCTATTTAACATCAGTCTCACTCTATTTTTTTTCCCTGCAATAGAAATTAGAAACAAGTGCCACAAAGTTTTGACTTGAAGGCAACTAGCAAAGGAATAGAAAAATTTTAATAATGTCTTTGTATAGCATTTAAAAAGCCCTCAGAGACAAGTTTCCTCCTTTTCTCCTCCTCTCTTTTCTTTTTAAGCTTTGCAGGTTTCTTCTAACAATTTTTAATTTCTAGCAGGGGAAGGATAGATATAATCAGATGAATGAAATTAAAGTTACAAAATAAACCAGACTGTGGGTAATCTTGAAGTGAAAAAAATAGTAAAAAAAATTAAACAAAATACGTTTGTAAGAATGTTTAATGGGCATTTTTAATTAATTTTGAAAATAAAGTGGTAATGTTTCCTTCCATTGTTGTAACACAGACTGTCTGCAGGTCAGTCATTATATTAAATATCCAATTCTTCTTTAGAGCTGAAAGTTTCAACTTTAATTGCCTGTTTGGAACCTGGTCTATCCAGAAAAGTGCAATGTGAAGTGATGTTTTAGACCATGACTTACCATTCTCCTCTGACCATCGTCATAGTCACACTTGGGATTCCTTTGGTCTTCCCCATATTCTTCTGCCCCCAAAGATTTATTTTTCTTTTGCTTATTTCTTCTTTCCTTGGCATTTTTGGATGCTAAAGGTGACATTTCCAATGAACTAAGTGACATTGAATCAATTCCTTTAGTAGCTAGTGCCTAAAACAGAAGATGGTAGAAGGCATAAAATTTATTATTTGAGTTTAGGATCTCAGTGAGAACTAATAATTACTCTGCTCAATAATTACTTTTCATTCAAAGTTTTAAGGTTATATAGAAGATAAATTAAAAATTCATAGAATCACAGAATAGTTTGGGTTGGAAGGGACCTTAAAGGTCACCTAGTTCAACTCCCCTGCAGTGACCAAGGACATCTTCCATCAGATCAGGTTGCTCAGAGCCCTGTCCAACCTGACCTTGAATGTTTCCAGGGATGGTGCTTCTACCACCTCACTGGGCAAACTGTGCCAGTGTTTCATCACCCTCATTGTAAAAAATTTCTTCCTTTTATCTAGTGTGAATCTACCGAGGGGGCTGGACAGGAATGGAGCCAAGCTGGCTGCCAGGAGCTTTCCTCCCCTATCACAGAGGCATGCTAGGAACAGCAGGCAATTCAGCTGACATGTTTTTGTAAACACTTATCCCAAGTAGCAGCACAGACAGCAACGATCAGATATGCAAAGAGAAAACCGTGGGCTTAACTGGAGATAAGGTGGACTTTGCTTTGCTGTGTGCTTCAGTGCTGCACTGGCTATCTGGTGGGATCACTACACGAGCTGACTGATAATAGACCATCTCCTAGAAAACCAGCAGAAGTCAAATGTGAAAGCCTGAGCACACAAAACCACAGCCTTGGAAGCAAATGAGCAGCCAGGAGGAAGAATCGATAGGCGCAGGGAGGAAGCTGCAGCCCACGCCAGCACCCTGGGTCCCCATCCTTGGTGCAGGTGGCAGGAATGAGGAGGCTCTGAGCACAAAGCATGAGGTCAGGTTTGGAGGTGTTGGCATCTCAGCCGTAGCCACATCAGTGGCCTAGAGACAAGCCCATTTGCAGAGCCCCCAGCCAAAATATACAAAGTGAGTGAATTAGGGGAAAAAAAACCAAAAACCAAAAACCAAAAAACCTCTCCAGGTTCCCAAGAATAGGAGAAATGGATGAATCCTCAGTGCTATTGTCTGTAAGCCACCAGAATCAAACAGGCAATCAGCTCTCTGCAGCAAAATACTCCCTTCCTCCCACAGGCATCAGTCCAAAGAAAGTGAAGGCACTTAACAGTCTTGTAAAGAATCAATCATGTATTTCAAGGAGTAGCGGTAGCTCTATCAAGCTGAGAGCACAACAAAACTTAATTCCTGTGGGAAATATCTTTCATGAGAAAGCTGCTTAGAGCAGAGGAGGAGGGCTCAGACACCAGTCTAGGCTATTCTTTTTTTTTTTTTTTTCTTTTTCTTTTTTTTTTCTGAGGCAATTGATTTAATTGCTATGCTGAAGTGCTTTCTCTTCATAAAGATTCAGCAAGTCTTTTGGTGTTAAGTTCAGGTTTAGGAATGTGTTAGACCAATTGTGTAAATTGACTGATAGTCCCCAAACAGGTCTATCAGTTATATTTGTGCTCTCTTTATGCTGCACAATGTAAAAGCTGGTCTAAAGAGTTTTGGTTTTCCTTTCTGATTGCTATCATATTTTATTGATCTAGAAAATATTGCAAGTTGTGCTACTAAACATGCTGCATGCTTACTGCAAAATAAACTAATTTTCCCTTTCTTATCATTTTCTTAGCTATTGCTTGGGTTGAAATGTTTCTGCCTTATGTACCTTTTTCAGTAGTTGAAAAAGGATTTGGACCAAACTGTTTCTCAGGGCATGGGGGATGTCCCTACATCCTGCCTATCTACCCTTTCTGGTTGGGTTCCTGTGGCTGGAGCATGGCCTGACCCCAGGCATTGCAAACTATAACCCACTGCAGTAACTCCCAGGGGCAGGAAAGGAGTGTGGGACTGGGCATGTCTGTCAGGGATAAGTGGTGGCTGAAGGATGGGAGAAAAACTTAGCTCACACAAGCCCTGACATGGTTATTATGCAGGAGGTAGGACTTAAGGCAAGAACTTAGTGGTACAGTGAGAAAATGAAAACCAAGATCTTGATTAAAACCTTGGAGAGCAAGATTAAAACTGAGTAAATCTGACTGGGGCAAAACACCTGAGAAGGACATCTGAAAGCTACATGGTACAGACACCCAATTCACTTTCCTGATCCTCTTCTTCCAGATGTCTGTTTTGAAATGTTGGGCATCAATTTGCAGAGTTACTGGGCTTCAATAGTGAACATGATGGACCCCAATTGCTCTACTCCTAAGTTTCATTTCCATAAGATTAGGATAATTCTCCAAGAGTATTGCAAATACAAATTAGTATTTCTGAAGCCCACAGAGTCTGAGCAGTGACAAGATGCACTGAAAAACCTCTGAGGATGTTAGTCATTTAGTCTTTGAAGCAGGCTTTGAATGCCTCAGTCGGGAAGTCTGCTCGAGCTGGCCTAAGGCTGCAGAACAAATGATGAGAAAGCAAAGAGCTGCTCTTGTGCCATGCACTGTCCACCCTTTGTACTGAGCAGGGCACAGGGAAAATGAGACATGGTCAGCTGAAGAAAAAACTACGTTATAAAGTACATAGACAAATGGGAACAATTTAGGTTTTCATGAGCAACTTTCAATTTGACACATTCTGACTTTCAGGGCTTAATGTTCCTTTTTGTATACATACAAGCTTGGCTTAAATCAAAGCCTTCAAAAGGAAATTCTTAAATATCTTTAATTATAGCTGGGGCTACTAAAGTTGACTGTTATTAGGAAGAGCTCAGCTGGAGTGAAAACACATGAAAATTTGTATAAAATAGGTACGAGTTGCAACTCAGTTTGCTCCCTTAGGTTACAGAAGAAAGTTACTCTGTTCAAAGTGCCTGTACACAGACTAAATTGCATTTACCTATTACTTTAACTATCAAAGCAGATCTTTAAAATTACTTAAATGATGCATAAGCCTCTACCAGCACTTTGTCAAGGGTGAATTGCATTTTCTGTTTTCTTTCCAAGGATTTAAATGGGCTTTGGATTAGGCCCTGAAGCCATATGTACCCAAAAGAAAATTATGTATATTAGTTTATATTGTGTATCAAGGATTTATTTCTCTCAACTACAGTGGTATGTGTTATTCCAGACTAATTTTCTTATTGTCTTCTTGTTCACAGCACCTAAAATGTTCTGTTCAGCTGTTTAATAAAGGCTTTCTACCCCACACAAACCACAGGCAAATTAACTAGTGCTATTAAGGCTATATGGCTACATCCACAATTTGGCCTCCTTCCTTTGTTTAAACTTATGACATAACATTCAGTCACAGAATCACAGAATCGTAGTGGTTGGAAAAGATCTTTAAGATCACCGAGTCCAACCATAAACCCAACACTACCAATTCCACCTCTAAACCATGTCCCTAAGCACCTTGTTT